ATAATGGCATCACCATTGCTTGAAAACTTGATTTGATCGATAAGAAAAGAGACTAGACAACGATACAGATGACATCCTACCAGCAGCAAATATCCCGAGCCTACAACAAGAAAATTAGTCCTCGCACTTCCGCCCTTGGAGATCTTGTCCTTAGACGCGTTATGGGAACAACTAAAAATCTAGTGCATGGGAAGCTCAACGCCAACTGGGGGGGGCATACAAAGTGATACATGTAGGAGGTAGTGGATACTATGAGCTCAATCATAAAATAGAACTGTGACCTTGGAACTCTTCAAACTTGCAAAATTTCTATTTCTAAAAGTACCTTTTGAAGTATGAACTCTAAAGTATCTTCGGGAAATAAGGGTACCCCTTATTTAAAGATTTTGAAAAGATGACACATGATTAGCTGTCTGTTGAATAAATGTGTTGCAAAGAATATGAATAAAAATTCTCAGTTTTTTGGATATACAATGTTAGTAAGTTAAGAATATCCTATTGCCAATGCAGAGAGGCAAAAATCCTAATAGAATTATAAGCTTAAATCAGGTGTAGTCACCTGATCAAATTCAGGCCCTTGGCTAGGCATGACGATGTAAGCGGAATGGGTAATGATTTGAGTCCGATTAGATCGGCGGGTCGGTGCATGCGTGGAAATAGACTGTGAGAGCACCCGGGAGGTCGGAGTCATTATTTCCACACGATTACTGAGCTTTTTGAAGAAAGGCCGAATAGAAGCCATAACTTCAAGAGCCAAAATTTGCTTAAGTGTTTTTAGGTCCCTACTTTGGGACCGAGCTCTTTGAAAAAAGGTCGAGTAGAGGTCATAACTTCAAAAGTCAAAATTTGTTTAAATCCCTACTTTGAGATCGAGCTCTTCGAAGAAAAGTTGAATAGAGGCCATAACTTCAATAGCCAAAATTTGCTCAAGTGTTTTTAGGTCCCTACTTTGAGATCGAACTCTTTGAAGAAGGGTCGAATATAGGCCATAACCTCAAGAGCCAAAATTTATTTAAATTCTTACTTTGGGATATAGCTCTTTGAAGAAGGGTCGAGTAGAGGCCATAACTTCAAGAGCCAAAATTTGCTTAAGTGTTTTTAGGTCCCTACTTTGAGATCGAGCTCTTTGAAGAAACACAGAGTAGAGGCCATAAGTTCAATGGTCAAAATTTGTTTAAATCCCTACTTTGGGACCAAGCTCTTTGAAGAAGGGTCGAGTAGAGGCCATAACTTCAAGAGATAAAATTTGTTTAGATCCCTACTTTGGGATTGAGCTCTTTGAAGAAATTCTAAGTAGAGGTCATAACTTCAAGAGCCAAAATTTGTTTAAATCCCTACTTTGGGACTGAGCTCTTCGAAGGAAGGCCGAGTACATATTGTAACTTCTCGAGCAACCCTTTATTTCTGGATGACTAAATGAAAATAGAAATAGCAAACAGATAACAAGTACAAAAGAATTCGGCAAACGAACTTTCATTGTGCATCCAAAAAAAGAAATTACAAGAAAGTCTTAGAATTAAACGAAAATTTTTTCAGAACAGTTTTAGGTTGATGGAGGCTAGGACAAGCTAGCAAGAGAATGACGGATGTAGAGCTCTGAAGTCTGAGGTACTCCGGCAACAGCCAAAGCAGCATGCCAACCTCTGCTGAAGTACACTTTCTCAAAAACTGGGATTTGCAGGGCCAAGTCATTCTCCATCCCTTGCTCAAAAGCTAAGTCTTCTTGAACCTTAGCCTCAACCTTAAACTTCTCATACTCCTCCAGAAGACTGGAATGATCAAGCTGAGACTGAGAAAGCTCAACACTGACTGCATGTTCAGATGCTTTTACCTCCTCAACCTCTGTGAAAAGTTTCTTATTCTCCTTAGTCAGGCTAAGCATTTGAGCCTGAAGAACCAAACCCTCCTCGCAGAGCTTGGCATAGTTTTCGTCAATGGACTCTTTTTTTGCCAAAGCAGATGCAAGGGCGTGAATGACATCCTTTATGACCTTATCTTTTCTAGCAATTCTAGCCCCCACTTCATGGACTTTTTGAAGCCCATACAAGTTAAAGAAAAATGAAAAGACTAAACAAACTACTTCTCAATTGCTTAGTAAAGGAAAGATAAAGGAAAGAAGTGAAATACCAGAACCATCTGCTGAATTGTTTGCCGAGTGATTTCATCATCTGACAAAGCCTCATTAGTGGCTAAGTCTTGAGGCAGAATCACCCCCTAGCAATCCCCACTGCAACATTGAAATCTTCTACAACTGAATCATTCATTGTGATCTCTCTTCTTTTTGTTCTGAGAATAGGTCAGAAAGGTGGAGTAACAGGCTTTGGAGAAGGTATGATGTTAGACTCTGCAACTTTATGCTTCTTGGAGGCAGGATCATCGGAAAGCTTAAGAAGTGAATCAAGGTAGTCATTGGGGGAATGAAAATGAATAGGAGAAAGAGGGAACTTGGCAGGAATGGAAGAATCTGTGGCCCGAACCAAATCCACTGGTAGATTATCCTGTAGAACCATATGGTATAGCATGGCTCGGCTCAGAAAGGATAGCTTTGGCAGGAGCTTCAGGGTCAAGCTCTTCCACAAGTACAAGGTTAATAGGAGTAGGAGGATCAGTCGGTACAGAGGGCTCAGCAGGAACAGATGGTTCAACGGTTGACAAAAATTCAAGGAAATTTTTGACCGACCTGTTTCTCCCAGAAGGACCGAACAATGACTTTTTACAGGAACAAGGAGTCTAGTCCCGATCAGTTTGGATAGATTGGCGGTCACCAGCAAGGGCTGAGTTGGGTTGGGATGGAACAACAATAAACGACATATAAGTTGGAGTATACCCGGAGTAATGCGTGAGCAGTTCGGCAGAAAAGTGAGTCATTATAATCCCACACCTTTTTCAGCTCTTCCATCTTAACAACATGCTCAGGAATTCTTCCCTTCACAATCTCGCCTTCAAAGAAAGACAACGTAAATAAAAATAGTAGATGAATGTACTAAGAAAACAAAGTAAAAACGTCAATCACCTGGTGCGCCTTCCTCATAGGAGCATCGATAGAAAGGGGTAGAATCAGCTGCATACTCCCAATTCCCATAAACGAAGACCACATCTGGGAGGTGGGTTACTAGATAGTGATCTTTCTTCCTCACTGCAAGGTAGTAGTTGTCTCCAGCTGGTTTGATGATGTAACAATATAGAATCTCTCATAAACCTAGACTCAGGTTTAGAAGCTTGTTTAAAACAGCTACACCTATCACAATTCTAAAGAAATTGGAGCAACATTGAATGGGGCACAACTTCATCATTGATAGCACCCAAAGAAGCAGAGGATCAAGGGGAAAACGAACACCGCCTGCTGTAATTGCATGAGTATGGATCAGAATACTCTCTCTGGTTCCTATTAGAGGTTCATCAGTACCAGCAACTCGTACATTGACACCTTCAGGAATGTTGTATTTAGCTTTGAAAGTAGGAAAATCAGAAGAAGTAAGAGGAGCCATAGTAGAAGAGAAGAGGGAAACCCAGAGTTAAGCAAGAAAATCTGAAGATGAGAAGACAGAATAGGAAAAAGGATGGAGCATGTCGTTTATAAAGGGTTTAACTGAAGCCCAAGAGGCAATCATTTAAATGAGTTACATGCCGCCAAAAAATAAGGTGCATGTCTCGATGGAATGTGCAATGATAGTTTGATAGCATGAAATAACTGACAGGTAAAAGGAGTTTGTCACACGTTTCCTGGGGACAAATGAAGAGGCACTGCACTCTTGCTGACACGTGGAGGGGGCATTTAAAGCCCTCACGTGATGAAAGAAAAATAAGGCATGTGAAGAGAATAGTAGACACTATTATGACCAAGTTGTTCAAACAGCTCGGTAGTAAAGGAATGAGCTTGGCTCTGGCTAGGCCAAGCTATTCAGAATAACAACGTGGTGATAAAGAGAAGCCTATGATTCAAGCATTCTGATAAAACGAATGGGCATGATCATCGGTTCGATAGAGGAAACTACTGGAGAGATTTTAGCAACTTCCTAACAAAATTCCCAGGTTAAGGGAAGGTGTACCACCTTGAATAAAAATTGTGGAAACCCTGACAGGGGGAAGCTCTATAAAGAGCATAAGGAGATAAGGTTGAAAGATACGCTGAATTCTCCTTACCTTATCATAAGTTACTCATTTTCATTACTAAGTTAAGCATCGGAGTGCCTTCGTTCGAAACACTTTGATCTTGAACAGTTTGTTCGTTTTGTAGGAGGGAAAAGCCTGGAGATTGAGTTCAAAACTTGTTCACGCAAGAGGCAACCTTTATTCACTCCTGTGAGAGGTAAATCCATTTCCCCCCTCTTACAGTTATAATGCCACTGATTTAGTATCACCCCTTAATTTGAATTAGCAAAAAGTAATGTCTTCTTGCACTATACTAATTTCAAACATTCATGATTTGAATTACTTACCACTTAGTTTATTAGTAAATCATTTATGAAAGATATTCCCATTACTTATTCCTCATTCTATTAGTCTAACCAAATACGAGCTTTAAGATATAGAGACTTGTTATTCCACAATACCAAAAACACTTTTTTCACTCTTTCCTATACTAGAGATTTCACTTAGAAAAGAAAATATTCCATAGTAATGGATTCAAGCCTATTATTGTTGGTTTCAATGCACGAGAACTTGTAGCACTTACCAACGAGACTCTATCGGTTAGTATTACACAAAATAAATTAATTATGAAATCTATGCCTTAAAGGTATTAAAGGCTAAAAATCAAAGGAATATAAAAAACCAAAGCAGCCATCTGAGGCATGGCAAGTGGTTACCTATGCTCAATCAGATCTTAAAACAGTGCCTAGGATCCAAGTTTACGTTGGAAAATTTTCAAAACGATCTATTTATTAACTCAAAAAGAGTACAGAGTAGGAAGGGGTAAGTTGAATATGTTTACATTCAACTTTTCAACCACACTAAACATTTTAACCGTACTTACCATTTAAACACATCAAACATTTTAACCATGCTAAAAAAAAACGTGTTTTGCACTAGGTACTCTATTTTATGATATGAAACTTGTTTTCGTTCATAGAGACGATTGGAAGTTCAAATTAGACAAATGCATGGATGTGCCCTTCCTTCCATGGTTATGACTGTTATCAATCAAATTCATGAAGAAAGCTAAAAACATTGACAAGTACAACAATTAAAGCTGCAATTAGCAACAACTGTTATTGAAGCAGCTGATCATCAACATAATAAGAAAATGACAGCCAACATTGGTAAGGAAGTATATGAATATGGCAATGTTATATACAAGTGGAGGATGAAGAAGAAAGGTTTCATGTTTTTGTTGGAACCTTGAGAGGTGCAGTGAAGAGCTGAAGCTTAAGCAGTAGCTGCTGCTGCTGCTTCTTCTACAACCTGCGATGCTGGCAGAAGGGTGCAGACGAGGTTGCGATCGCCATAAACATTGTCGACACGTCCTGATGTAACAACCCACAAAATTACATTATTATTAATTCACCACAAAATCCAATTGAAAATGGAACAGCCAACGTATTGAAACAAAAAAGAGTGAACATTTTGAGACAAAATTTGGAACCCAAGGTAGCAATATATAACTGACGAGGAAAATATCAATTTATGATTGGACTAAATGGGTCAACATCTTGTTGATAAAACTATTCCATAAAATTTTTAATCTATAGTATCCTGTGAAAACTTTTCGGTTCAGGGTGACTTATGAGGTAATAGCATTAAGAGTGGAACCAAGTGACACAAAAGAATGCTATAAATACCTGTGGTAGGCCAGAACTTTGCAGAACGAAGCCAGGAAGCAGGGAAGGCAGCATATTCTCGAGAATACGGTTTTGTCCACGCATCAGCCATGAGTAAAGATGGTGGATGAGGAGCTCCCTGCACTTACAATTCTGAGTTGATCTCCCCAAATTTTGTCATAAAAAATACAGTTGCAAAATTTAAGGTTCATCCATGTGTATTCAAGTGCAACAAGACTAAAGCCCCAATGGAGAAACATTCCCTTTTACCTTCAGAACATTGTTGTTAATATCTGCTTTTCCTTTCTCAATCAGTGCAATTTCCTCTCTTATAGAGATGAGGGCATCACAAAACCTGTCTAACTCTGCCTGCAAAGAGATGAAGCATTTAAAGCAAGAGAAAACAAAGAATGAGGATGCATTTCATGCAAGTGTGAGTGTCTGAAAATAGATATTAGTCCCCTCTCCTTGTATGGCATACCTTGCTTTCACTTTCGGTTGGCTCAATCATGAGCGTCCCAGGAACTGGCCATGACATTGTGGGTCCATGAAATCCATAATCCATTAGACGTTTAGCAACATCTTCAGGCTCTATCCCAGCGGTATTCTATCCCAATAATTAGCTTGCAGTCAGGTATACTCTAACGTTCCAAAACTTTGTCCCAGAATACAGGGATAAATTAATAAGATGGTCAGTCAGAATTACCTTAAAGCCCCTCAAATCAACAATGAATTCATGGGCAACTGTTCCATTGACACCACGGAAAAGGATGGGGTAGTACTCCTGTTAATCCAAAAGCAGAAGACATCAATATTTTGAAACAATTAAGGAAAACAGAATCTGCAAAAGTTCTCTGCAGGGAGACTCAAATTTGATAGACAATAAGCAAGCCCAACACAAGTATGAAGCTCAGGTCATAGGCCTGATTAAGTAGAAAATCAAGTCTTCGAAGGAAGGGAACTTGTCCTGTGAACAACACAAAAAAGTGCTACTCTTCATTCCAGTAAGAAGGGCCATGACATAAAGTGCCTATCCATTGTTCTGTGCTGTAATTGTACTACAAATAGTAAACAGGAAAAATAGTCAAAGGGAGACGCAGAGACCTCCAAACGTTTAGCCATGTAGTTTGCGTTCAATATAGCTATCTTTGATGCTTCTGTAAGTCCCTTGGACCCCATCATGGCAATGTAGGTATATGATATTGGCAAAATAAGCGCAGAGCCCCAAGGTGCAGCAGAAATGGTACCAAGTGGTTGCATCTTCTCAGGGGCAGGTATACCTCCAGTGAGTACCTTCAGTTTAAGATGATAAAGGAATTAGAATGCGGACCATAAAGATATCAAGGTAGCATGTTTTTCTTGAAACATAAGAGTTAAAAAATGGTAAGAAAATTACAAACATGCTACATAATCGATGGATCCTATAAATGCAGTACTAATTGAAAAGTTCTGAACCGAACATGTGCTGCAATGAACAAACATTGTATGCCAATAACCAATGCCAAGTTCAAATGGGCTTATACAGCAGTAATCTTTCTTCCAATTGCTGCAAAGTTAGCAACTGCTGATTACTTATTCATCTTTGTTCATCTGCTCGTTGATTTATGTACTTTCGGGAGTGATGCAGGGGAGGGGGTATAGCAGACTGGGAAGATGAGTAAAGGAAGCAAGCAAAGGAAAATACAAGGACCAAAAATCAGGCCACATGACAAATCGTGGAAAAAAAAGTTAGACAGAGGACGAGCAATCTTCAAAGACTAAAAACCTAATTCCATGATCAGAAAAAATGAAAAGCTTGTCCCAGAAGAACTTCCTGACTGAAGAAAGGAAGACAAGTATAGATCATGTACTACATGCACGAGAAAAATCAAGAAATGAAATGAATCCCGAGTAAACAATATTTCAAGTCAAAAAAGAAACAAATATGCAACAATAACAGCATTCATTGCCCAGGAGTGCGAATATTGGCTTCAATGCAAAAACAATAGGCTGTAAGTGCATACCACAGGATGTGATGGCAGAAAGGGGGCCAAGTGTTTCTTCACACCTATAGGACCCATGCCAGGACCCCCACCACCATGAGGAATGCAGAATGTTTTGTGGAGATTGAGGTGGCAAACATCAGCACCAATGAAGCCTGGGCTTGTCAGACCAACCTGCAAGGAGAGAATTTATTTATAAATAGCAGAGAAATGCAAACTTATTTACCACTCAGGAGGAAAACATACACTTCTCAAAAAGGAGAAAAAAGGCTGACTTGGCCACATAATTATGTTTTACTTCAATTCCAGGTAAGAATATCTGAGCATGTTTTACCTGTGCATTCATGTTGGCTCCATCCATGTAAACTTGACCCCCATTGTCATGAATTATCTGGCATATCTCATCAATGCCTTCCTCATAGACTCCGTGAGTTGATGGATATGTAACCTAGAATGTGAATTAGAATCAAAGGTCACTTGGTAGAATACTTACTAATCCACGATGGTAATGATTTGTACCATAAGAGCAGATAAGTTGTCCCTATTCGCTTCAGCTGCCTTCCGTAACTCGTCAACGTTAATATTTCCCTTGGCATCAGTTCCAACAGCAACAATTTTCATTCCACACATAGCAGCACTAGCAGGATTTGTTCCATGTGCTGAGACAGGTATGATGCATACATTGCGGCGTTTGTCTCCTCTTGACTACAACGAGATTTGACAGGTGGATGAGCATGATCAGTAGGAAAATAAGCCAAGAGTAACTTCAGAGACAAATATCAAAAAGTGGGCATTGTACAATTATGTCCGAAAACCTCCCAAACACGAGGTATAACTTGAGATGCAAGAGGGGAAATGCGACTGGAGATGCAACACAATCGCTGATATCAAAACTCTCAATTCCACACCTATTGTAGATAAGTCATACAGAAATTCTACTTGTGGATTGGCATCTCTACCAAATGAGAAGTACATACCCAAAAGAGGTTGAGAACCCTGACGATAGTGTAAAAAGTGCTATCCACTATTTTATAAGATCGGGTGTCCACTCGGTGTCCACTTCAAGGTCAAGTTGAACTAAAATTGCGAGAAACTCCCAATCTTAGGATAGTCCCTCTAAGTTTACCAATGAGGTGAGCCTCAAGGAGAAACAATCACATATAATTCGATTATGATGTTATATTTCCATCATTACGAGGGAAACAATTTTGTTTCATGTGGGCGCAGCAGAATACCAGATGATATGCGCGGATGACCATAAGTCCAGCATACTCTCCAGCTGCACCAGCATTGGGTTGCAAAGAAAATGAATCGAATCCAGTGACAGTACACAACAGGTTGCCCAAATCTTTGAACATTTCCTGAAAAAGGAAATTTTTTTAGTTCATTAATATATTACCATGGCTGCCCTCTTATCCACATAATATAACAGAAGGTGAAACAGACAGTATGGAGATACCTGATAACCCTCAGCCTGTTCACTGGGAGCAAAAGGGTGCATCTCTGCGAAGCTAGGCCACGTCACAGGCATCATCTCGGTGGTTGCATTCAACTTCATTGTACAAGATCCCAGGGGAATCATGCTGTGGCATAATGAGAGATCCTTCGATTGCAGCTTATGAAGGTACCTGAGCAGCTCATGCTCTGTATGGTACCTAAAAATGAAAAGAAGAAAAAAGATGAATAAGAGTTAGATAATTTCTCTACTACAACTAATCAAAACTAAAGTTTAGTGGAAAGACCTACGAGTTGAAGATTGGGTGAGTCAGATATGGGCTCTGCCTTACAAGCCCAGAAGGGATCACGTTCTGAATGTCTGATGCAAGAGATGCCGCAGCGAACGTCACCTAATAACTTAACAGTGAGGTTTACAGGAATGTTGCAAAAACAAAACTGAATAGTTCTGTTACAGGAATTAAAAATTGTAGTACACTGATACTTACAGGCTTGCCACATGCAAAAACCTTAAATAGCTTATCCACATCCTCTAACGTGGTTGTTTCATCAAAAGAAACTGTGACCTGAAACAGTTATTTTTTAGTATCAGCCTAGATTGTAGATTACAAACAGATATAAACATTTAACATCGTACTTACGGTGTTCTTCTCTACAATCCGCAGATTCATCTCACTCTTGTAAGCAGCATCAACAATTGCCTGTGAATCAGCACATTTAACCTTCACGGTGTCAAAGAAGGGAAGCCCTTGTACTTCTACAGTTCCAAGCTTCTTCAGCCCAGCAGCAAATGTCCCAGCAAGACCATGGACACGTTGAGCAATTGTTTTAAGGCCTTCAGGTCCATGATAAACAGCATACATAGCAGCCATGTTGGCTAGTAGTGCCTACATACAAGACAAGAAGCCAAATATAAAGCCAACAACTACATACATAAACTGGAAATGAGCCATGTCTAAGATTTCTGTATTTCAGTCTGGACAACATAATGAAGAAATTTCTGGTGAGAAATAGGGACCAGCAGGACTTATTTCAGAGTTTGTGCCTATCTCTAGTCCGGTCTATTATGCTGTATGTAAACAAACACTGGATAATTTGAACCAGGTTTGAATTTGAATAGCACAGATTCAATGATTTCTCACGCAGCCTATTACTGGGAAATTGATGAAACAAAATTGAAATCACAAATATGTAGAAAAATCTTATACCTGAGCAGTGCAGATGTTGCTTGTAGCCTTGTCCCTACGGATATGTTGCTCCCTTGTCTGCATTGCCATACGTAAAGCAGGCTTTCCTGAAGAATCAACACTAACACCAATAATTCTTCCAGGCATCATCCTCTTGTACTCTTGCGATGTGGCTAGGAATGCTGCATGAGGACCTCCATAACCCATCGGAACCCCAAATCTTTGGGCCGAACCAACAACAATATCTGCGCCGAATTCACCAGGAGGCTTCAACATTGTCAACGCCAACAAATCAGTAGCCATAACGACCTTAACCCCATTTGCATGTGCATTCTTAATGAACTCCCCATAATCCAATACTTCACCCTCAGTGCCCGGATACTGGACTAGAACTCCACAAACATTGCCCGATTTGTAATCAAAGTCCTTAAGATCGGCAGTGATTACATTAATCTCAAAACCATCAGCTCTAGTCTTACAAACATCAATTGTCTGAGGGTGACAGTTACTAGCAATAATGAAAGTTTTCTTCTTCCCCTTCTGAATATTATTACACATAGCCATTGCCTCAGCAGCAGCAGTTCCTTCATCAAGTAATGAAGCATTTGACATGGGTAAACCAGTAAGATCCGAAATCATGGTCTGATAATTAAGCAGGGATTCGAGTCGCCCCTGCGCAATCTCAGCCTGGTAAGGAGTATACTGGGTGTACCAACCAGGATTCTCCATAATATTCCTCAAAATAACAGGTGGTACAAAAGTGTTATAATACCCCATCCCAATAAATGATTTGTAAACCTTATTCATAGAAGCCAACTTTTTCATATGCTCAATCATTTGTGATTCTGTTAAACCACCATCAAACTTTGGAAACTTCATTGATTCAATTCGGATTGATTTAGGCACAGTGGCATCAATAAGAGAATCAAGAGTCGAGAACCCACAAAACTCAGCCATTTTAGTTTGTTCTTCAGGAGTTGCAGAGTTATGGCGACGAGGAAAACTATCACTTGGTTTTAATGCTTCAACAGATATAGATCTCATTTGAGACCCAATAGAACCAAACCCATTATTGTAATGCCCATTTCTTCCCAATATCCCATCTGATCTACCACTACTTTTTCCATGAAATGCGAAGGGAGACAATGAAGAAACATACCTTGAAGGTGAGTACAAAATGGGTGATGAAGAGTTTGATAACAATTCATTCCCTCTGTGTTGTTTGGCCTCTGAAACCAGGCGTTTCAGAATTGCCCTGTTCGCTACCCTCCTCACACGTTCCATTGATATAGATATATGAAGAACTACTTGACTCTTCTGGGTTTTTAAAGAGAAAGCTTTAGCTTTTTCTTCTTTGCTGCTCTGTTTTTATTGTTTCATGAGCTCAATGGGTATGTGGGTGGCAATGGGTGGTTGTTGAGGAGACACTATATTTGTGTGTATATATATTGTGAAATTTTGGTATTAGTTGGTATATATGTATATGAAAACGAACAGGTTTATAGATTCAATATCTGGCAGTGGTGGAGGTGGTGGTGGCCGTAGTTGGTGGAGGGTGAAGAGTGCGTAGGTTTAAGAGAGACTGCGCACCTAGGAAAGAAAAAGACAGGTTTTTTTTTTTTTGGGTCATGTGGTGGAGTCCTTGCTAATTGCTATCTTCCATTACTTCTGTCAACTGATCCAATTTTTAAATCAAATTTAATCCAATTATGAGGTTAAAAAACATTAAATTTAAGTTTTTTTTTTTTTCGAGTAATAGAGGACAAAATTCGAACCTCCAATCTTAAAAGTCTAATAACAGGACAGTAAACATTAAATCAACCTCTAACCTCAAACATAAGTGTTTTTTGGAGTTGATTAAAGAAGTTTTCAATAAATTTTATTTTTACAATTTGTATCTAAATCTGTTTAGAAAAATATGATTCGAATAAATTAATTTAATTTAATTAATCAAAAAATACTAGATTTTATCATATTTTATATATCTATAATTGCATCAAATTATAATCAAATTGGATATTAGATTATTATAAATGGAATTTATTTCATATTTAACTAATCAAATTCAGATCGAAATTGATACATCGCTAAGATTAGGTGATAATTTCAAGGGGTAGTTCAAATAATATTAAAAACGAGCTATAAACCAAAATATTTTGAGTTTTTTCTTCGTGAATATCCTAATTTCGACATAAATGACTTACTTTTAACTAGACCGAAGAAGAGATTAATTGAAATATGAGTAAACTACCTTAGATCACCCTTGAGTCCATCTACCATTGAACAAAAAAAAAACAAGAAAATATGACTAATTGACATCTAGTTGGTGAAATTTTATTCAAAATAAACAGTTGAACAAAAAAAAATCATGTGTGTGCATAACCAAATCCTTTAATGTGTGGAAGGGAATGAATTGAGGTGGGATTGAATGCCATTGGTCACAATGCATCTCAAAGTTAGACAATTAAAATAAGACCTCAAAAGTGTGGATTATTTTTTTTATTATTATTATTATTATTATTTTTTTTGTGATTTTGTGAAATACTGGGTGGCATATTGTGTTTCACATTTGGCTTATCTCAATCTCTCACCTCACAAAAAAATTTAAACAGTCTAGATCATATCATTACACTATACGTACATCCATTCATGTGTGTATGATAAGTAGCTTCTATGGTTGAGAATAATGAGATTCAGTCAAATCTTATCTTTATATTTTTACCCTTTCAACAACCATAGAAAATGAAATCTCATTTATTTCGGGGAGAATTTTATGATACCAAAAAATAAATTTTAATATTATATTTAAGGGTATCAAAATATGACACAATTCATTAATACGATACAAAATTAGAAAATTTGAACCTTCTTTAAACCACTCATTTCGTAAACAAGTAAAGCTGACACAACACGATTAATAAATGCATCGACTATAAATGAAATCAATGAAAAAAATACATAACATGACTCGTTTATATGTTGGTTATATACAATTTATACACGATACAAATCTGATAAAACACTACTCATAAGACACGAATTAATAAACAAATCAAGTATGTATAAAATACTTTTTTACATGAATTCATTAAGATTTAACACGAACCCATCTCAACCAACACAATTCACAAACCTAACCATACTTGCATGCACAACTTTTTAGGAGTTTTATACATTTTTGGGGGTCATTTATAGGTTTTTTTTGGTTTTTTGAATTTTTGTTAATGGTTCCTCAAATTTTAGGATCAAGTCCTGACATTTAATATAGATCGCAAATATCCAAAAAAATTATAACGAGACCACCAAAATTTTAAACTCGAATTTTAAAAGTTACAATACGATGTCAAAAATTATATTTTTTAGATCGATTCTAACTTTTTTTAATTATAATTGACCCTAAAAAAAAACTAATTGGGGATTTGTTTTTATTTTTGGATTTGTTTTTTGATTGGTGGGTTTAGTGGGTCCCTAGGATCAAAGGGGAGTTGGCGAAATTGGGGAATCTTCCATTGAACGAATCTTCGTGGTTGATTGGTGTTGGTTTTGTATGTACCATTGGCCGTTGATTAGGGGGTTGGAATGAAATGAACGGTTGGTATTGTTTATTCTTTTTCTCTAATTTAAAGGGTGACAGCGAGAGTTAGTTGAAAATTAGACTAGATTCCTACTATACTTTGTAGGTTTGAATGCAACGATAACACTACTTCGTAACTGTTGTTACACCACTTCCTAATAATAAACTCACATGCAAACAAGTAAATTTTATTTAATGGGGAATTATTATGTCCAAATTTATAAAATTTGTCGTTTAATTACTCAGATTTTTTGATATTTAAAATATTATATATATATTTCTTAATATTTAAATGTACGTAACACTTAGAACCCGCGTCGAATATTCGTTAATACATTTATTAGTAAATTACACTCATCACTCCTAAAATTTATAGGCAGATAATATTTAGATCCTTCAAGTTTAAAATATTATATTAGACCTAAAATACTCAAATATTTAGAATATCAAATATTTTAAAATCTACAATCAAAATTCATATTCTATTGTATCAAACAAGAGGTCTAAAATATTTGATATTCTATTTTTGATTGATGTATTTTTTTTATCTAAATATAATATTTTAAATTAGAAAAGTTTAAGTATTACATGCCTACAAACTTCAGGGGGTCTGAATATAATTTACGAATGAATATACTAACGGAAATTAACGGCAGAGGTCTAAGTGTTACGCGTGTACAAACCTTAGGAGGTCTGTGTATATTTTTTCCAATATTAGGGAATCTGAATGATTAAGTGACAAATTTCAAAAAGTCTAAAATATAATTTTCTATTATTTAATTTAGTGACTACCATGCACATGTTAAAAAATAATCAATCGTCTAAAGAAGTAGAGTTTATTTTGTCGACTTATAAGTTTATTGTTGGGTAGTTGTAGTTACGGAAAAATAGTGCTAAAATGTTACCGTCACACTTAATATTTACACTTCCTAAGGAGGGCTTTGTTATTTAGAAAATGCTACATAACCTGAATATAACTCAAAAGTTGCAACTCAAATGCATATAATCCTTGGATGAATGAGTTCCATCAATTTTTTCAATGAAACTGACTCATCCAAGGATTGATATATATTTGAGTTGTGTAGCATTACTCTTATTTTTTTGGTTCAACGGTAAGGAGTGTACAAGCTAACTTACGCGTACCTCGATAAACTTTCTTTCTAATCTGATTAAAGATAGAAATTATCTACATCGGGACTAGGATATTCATGATGGATAAATTATTCATGGTTTAACCCCAAGAATTGTCAAGATTTAAATTCAAGACGTTTAAATTTATAATTTGTTTCTATTATCACTCGAGTTATCCCTTAAATTTATTCTAAGGAAGGCTTGTGTAAAAAAGTGAGATTCCTTCTAACGCATTTTTTTATAAAAAATTTCTTCTTAGCGGTTACCTATCATGTATTCAATTGAGTCTCTCTCATTAATAACAAATAATCCATCAATAAGAAAATTAAAAAAAAAATGTATCGGAGGAGGACTAGAAACGGATCTTTTTCTTCATTTGGGAATCTAGTGTAATGTCACTCAAATGGGTTGATGGGTCATCATTTTTTATCTGGGTGGGTTGTGTTAGGGTGGGATCATTGACATTTTTTATGATGAAAGGATATTCGGATCTATTAGAAGGTCCTATTACAATTTTTGAACACACAAATTCCCAATGTTATTAGTTGTATCATACAACTATCAGAATAAATCTTTAAACGTAGTCTTCATTAGGCCTATTAATTTTAAACATGACTTGTAAACTTGACACAAAATTAATGATTTGAGTTGAATTTTAGGAGATTCTAATAATAAACGGGTGAACTCATTAGATTCGTTAAGCAAATGAGTTGATACAAACTTAGCTAAACACAATTCCAATCAAACTATAAATAAATATAAATAGATCATGTATGAGTTAAACAAATTTTTATATTACACGATTAAGACACGACACTAACCCAACATAACACATCACATTCACGACCCTACCCTTGGAGATTCAAACTAGAGAGCCATGGAGAATTTTTTGAAAGTAGTTTTTGTCCATCTTTTTCAATGGCTATGATTAATGACTTCTTAAAAATATCCCAACATCCCTAATTTTTCTAGTACACAAAAGACTTAGATATAGAATTTTCAGCAGTGACAAAGTTTTAACAAGTGTATTTGGGATTGGTAAGATGTAATAGAATAGGATAAAATGAGATCAAATTCTTATGATTACAAAGGAGTTGGTAGGTGTACCAAGTAATGGTTAGAGCACATCAGACCTAACACCAACAGAGAGAAATGGAAAAAATGAGTGTGAACATAAGCCGGCTCTCTAATTTTCTTATTTTTAACCTCTAAGTCAATTTCTTTTTGGGCATGTCTCTCATATATAAGTCCATCTAACATGCTCTAATCATCCTTATATTTATAGACCCGAAAATGATCCACAACGTTGTTTAGCAGGTCACATTCTCTTTTTTCTTAGACGTAGACTAAATTTATCGTTTTACATCTAAAAATATGAATTTAATGCTGACATACGTTTTGATGGATTTCAGTCCCTTTAATTTCACTTAAGCACATACTTGATTCATTGTTGTATATAAAAGATAAATCGTCATAAGATTCTTATGGAGGAATTGAAAGAATCCAAGGCAATTAGGTAGAGACATTATGTTCAAATTATTAAAAAAAAAAATTAAATAAGCAAGTTGCTAGAGTATCTATCCATGTCAAATGGTGTTTTGGGTTGGTCATTGTTTAGTCTAGTTATGGTTTGTGTTTTCTTGATTTGACCCTTTAAACACACTTGAATTTAATGCGTATCATATATCATTAAAGTGAAATTGACCATTAGAGGGTTGATAATTGGTCAATTTTATAATTTATGGTTTCAAGGTTGCCCTAACACTCACGCTCTATCCCACCCGCAAAAGAGTGTTGATGTGTTGTTATCCTGCTTGATCTTCATCCCTTGTCCCTCAAGTCACTTGTGTCCCGTTGCCATCGTTGTATTCGCTACTAAACTTGCACCTTTATAATTAAGTAAGCCTCATTCAATCATAAAA